GAGCGCGGTCGGCGGCGTGCAAGCTGGCAGCTACGTATCAGGCCGGGGAGGAGGGAGGGAGACGGGAGAGGAGGGGCGCCGATCATCAGTTGATGATCTTGCCGGTCGGGTCGATGCGCTTGCCTCCAGGAGCGAGGCCGGTGACGGGGTCTGTGTTGTTTGGCCGGCGGAAGAGGAGGATGTGCGGCTCCGGCCTGAGGCGCGGCGGGCCAGAGGTATGAGTGCAAGGCACGCAACGGTCGCAGAGCCGCGGGCGCGCGCGCGCGTGCGCACTTGTGGATCGCGTAGTGACCCCAGCCTCGACTCTGCGTGACGCCGAGGCCGCGCCACTCCGTCTCTAGCAGCAGACGGCCCTTGGTCATCGTCTTCGCGATATGCTTGGGCAGGATGACGTGCCTGCGCGCGCGCGCGCGGCGTCGGATCGCGCGCACGCAGGGGGTTCGGGGCAACTGCCAAAAGCGGTGGCGGGTCGCTGCGCGCGAGCGGCGCCTGTACTCGTAGTCCTCGTCGGCGTACTTTTCAGAGTACTCGATGTCGTGCGACATGGCCTGCGGGGAGGGCAAGGAGGGGATGGGCGCTGAGGGGCTCGGAGGGGGCCCTGAGCAGCATCAGCATGAGCGGCAAGCCTTGAACAACGACGAAAGAAATACGAGCCCGGAGGAGCAGGAGAGCCCCACCTGTCCCCCTGCCTCATCGTCCTTCCAAAATCCTGCTCATGCAGGTTGGGACCCGGAGGGCCCAACTTCAGAATCGTGCTTTTTGGGTTGGGTTGTTGGGTTGGGTCGGGTTGGGCGCGGTTGGGTTGTTCCGCGTGAGGTTGGGTCGTCGGCGCGAAGGGTGAGGTCTCGACCGCCGCCGCTCACGCCAGCGGACGGCCACCATCGGTGTTTTTGGCTTCGCCACCGTCCAAGGCGTGCGCCATGCGCTCGCCGGCATCGAGCGAGCAACGTGATCGACCGAGCGGCTTGCTGTGTGGACGCCTTCTTCTGGCTCTCGTCGAGAGCGTTTTGCGTCCCGGCGGGTGGGAGATAGGGTGTCGTCTGATGTGTCACTGTGTACGTCACATCGGTCTTGATAACAAGCACGGTCGATCCGTCGAAGCGATACACTCGTTCCTATCACGCTGGAAGGCTTGCACGGAGCTCTGTGCCGGCACACAGAAGAGCCGTGCGGCAAGAGAAGAGCTCGATGGGGAGCGAGAGCCGTCAGATTTTCAGGTGTAACCTGAAGTCCGTCGCGATGCACTCAATCCCACCCGAACGAAAGCCTGTGGCTCTCTCGAACTCGTCGATATATTGCGGATGAACTGCTCTTCCCGCATAGCTTGCAGAGTCAGAGGCGCAGCGGAAAGGCTGCGAGTGCTCGACGAGTCTTGCGAGCTGCGCGGTCAAACCTGGGGGGAACTGACCGCATCAAGGCGGACTTCCGAAACCTGGGTGAGCACCTCTGGCAGTTCTCGCTCCCCATCGAGCTCTTCTCTTGCCGCACGGCTCTTCTGTGTGCCGGCACAGAGGTCAGAGCTCCGTGCAAGCCTTCCAGCGTGATAGGAACGAGTGTATCGCTTCGACGGATCGACCGTGCTTGTTATCAAGACCGATGTGACGCACACAGTGACACATCAGACGACACCCTATCTCCCACCCGCCGGGCCGCAAAACGCTCTCGACGAGAGCCAGAAGAAGGCATCCGCACAGCAAGCCGCTCGTCGGACAGGCGTGCTCGCTCGATGTCGGCGAGCGCATGGCGCACGCCTTGGACGGTGGCGAAGCCAAAAACACCGATGGTGGCCGTCCGCTGGCGTGAGCGGCGGCGGTCGAGACCTCACCCTTCGCGCCGACGACCCAACCTCACGCGGAACAACCCAACCGCGCCCAACCCGACCCAACCCAACAACCCAACCCAAAAAGCACGATTCTGAAGTTGGGCCCTCACCCTGTCCTCCCCCATCCCTCGTTTGGAGTTGTCTCTCTGTTTTCTTTCTTTCTTTACACACACAAGAAGAAGATTTCTTGTTGGTTAATAAAAATCTCTCTCTCACACACACACAAAACACAATGAACACGGGTGCCATACACAAAGCATGAGCGGGACCTTCAAGCAGCGATGAAAGAAACACGAATCGCCGCGTGACCTACTAGTGTCCCCAGCTATTTCGAGCCAGGTGTGGTGTGGACGCGAGAATAACTCCAAGCTCCGCCGTTCAGAGAGAGAGAGAGAGAGTTTTGAGAGAGAGATATTTTTGAAAACCAACACGGGGATACCCATCACTGAGCCGACGATGCTATGGGTAGCCCCGGGGTGGCGCCCACCCCCATACCCTCAGGC